ACAAAAGCCCTATGGTAAATAATCAACACATGAGCATAAAATTATTCTGATTCAATCAATTGAGGATAATGGGAATGAAGTTGAAAGTTTTTGTAACACCGTAAATTTTCAAATAAAATTTTCATTTAAAATCGCATATTTCTCATAACATATTTCACAAAAATCTCATGTGTTTAATTTACAAATCGCAATTCCATAATTGTTTGATTAAAAATCCAGGATCTTCAAAACATAACTCTTTCACTGGTGTGTACAATCAAGCCGGTGCCTTCCCGCGATCCTGCGAAAACCTGAAACACATAACACATAACACGGTAAGCACGAAGCTTAGTGAGTTCCCCAAAATACCACATATGGCACATTAGCCACTCAAGCCTATAACTCTGTAAGACCCTCCGGTCAATGTGTCTCAGTGGGACCCTCCAGTCCCACAACTCTGATGGACCCTCCGGTCCTAACTCTGTAAACTCTGAATACACATAGCATAAATCACACAGACATAATGCAGTAATATCACAGTACTTAAATAAACACATAAGACCCTCTAGTCACACATGAATACCACTATCGGCAAAGTATAGTGAGAAGACTCACCTCGCAAGCTAGCGAGTAACAGTCTCGTACTCGGAAATCTCGAACTAGCCTCCGCCTAACACATAGGATAACATCTCTAATTAATACTCTATTCATACTCAAATACACCAAAGGCTATTCTTTTTCTTTGTCTAACTCTTGAAGTGGATAAAAGACCATTTTACCCCTCCATGGCCTCCATTACTCATGATTGACCCAACCCTAAAGTTAATAAAAGTTAAACTCAAGTCAACATTCCATGTTTGACCCGACTCGCTGAGTGCACCTATGTGACTCGTCGAGTCCACTCATTTCCTCAGAAGTGTCATGAAGGTCCAGCTCAACTCGTCGAGTTGACCCCCCAACTCGCCGAGTTATCGCACGATCAAGCTCATCGAGACAAACCCTCACCGACTCGTTGAGTCAGGCCATGGACTCGACCAGTCCCTTCGATCTGATTTCTCATTCAGACGATTCTAAGCTGATCTACAACCCCACACTACAGATCTATCCTCCCAAGGCTCGAATAGCACGTAAAGCTGCAAGCTTTACGTTCATACATGGCATATAAGGCTCATAATGCCAACACATGCACCAACAAGGGTTAGATGCACAAGAGCTTGCCTCCAGCTCAATAAAGCTCGAGTCTTTGGACTCGCAACGCCACTTATAGTCCAGATCTGAGGTTCCAACCTCAAGCCATGCACCAATCACTCTATGACACAAGATAGATGGAAGAAAACCCTAAAGATCCCCTAAACAAGATCTCATAAGGAAATGATCAAGCTAGCATCTTTTTACCTCCAACTGAAGCAAAACTCTGAAGAATCTATGGATCCAAAAGCCTCCTCTTGATCCAAGCTTTGATGCTCTCCACTTCTTCCTCCAAAAGGTCACAACATGCCCAAAATGATGTCTCTTCTCTCTTTTAGTTGCCTCTAAGCGACTAGGGTTTCTCTCTGGAAGTAAGGAGGCAGGTGAGGCGGCTTAAGGTCCTTTAAATAGGACCCAACCCCGAGAATCTAGGGTTTTTTTCTGCCCAACACCTACTCGGTGAGTCGGCTATCTGACTCGTCGAGTCCATTCATTAAACGCACGCGGATACTCGACTCTACTCGACGAGTTGGAATCACAACTCGTCGAGTCGCTCCATAAATCTCAAAACTACCCTCACAACAATATGCCTGGAAATCCGGATGTTACAGTTTTGATCACCTAGCACTGCATGGTGAAGATCATAAACATCTCTTCTACAAAGATAGAATGCGAGGAATATAGTAGTTGGAAGTAGAACTCCATATAGATAATTGAAGGGACATGAAATCAGAGAAATCAACCTTGGAATTGTGTTTGTGTATGGAAGATGGAGAAGATGAACTTACTGGAATAGACCAAAAAGGGATGGTGCTAGGCTTCATCGGATACTTGAGATCGACCATCATGTCTTTTATAATAAAACGATGTAAAGGATGGAGAAGACCTAGAAGCCCCATGATTGCTAATAGTAGTGCAAGTATCAACCAATCATGCATGTGAATCCTGAATGTGGTTAGTCAATGAGACCTTATGGTATATGTTGTAGGCTGTGAATTCATCATCCTGGTATAACGAAAAAGATTCAGCAATTTCCATCCCCAAATTAGGCGAAAATTAGGTATAAGATTATAAGAGTTACTCGATTTAACTTCATAACTTTTTCGAACAGGACAAGAACTGAGAAACCCATTAAACCCACATGAGAAATTTCATGGGAATCCTTTATCCGAAAAGGGGTCTCAAATTCTACGGATAATAGTTGCACTCATTCATTGATCACCATACAAAAGCATACAAACTAATGGAAGAAGCATATATACTAAGCATTAAATGAAATAAGTAGTCAAAATTGCAAACGAATTTTGGAAGGGAGAAGAAATAAAGGAATAAGCTTCTTAAGAAAAAACAGAATAACAGATATCGAGGAGAGATAACCATGAAGAAGAGAGAATCACAGGGACGAGTAATTAATATGGTTGCCTTGTATTAGTTATTCTCGTAGTAGTTATTCGAAACAGGTAGGTTTTAAGGGGTCAATATTTTTAGCATAATTATATGGAATTAAGTATGGAATTTATTTTTTATCCTAATTAACTATATTTAGGATTAAGTTAACTAAATTAAAATGTAACATTACACAAATACCCTTTTGGAATGATTGACCCATAATCATTCCTACATCCACACAATAATTAGATAGAATATTTGAAGCTATCTCACACACATATATCAATAAGGAATGTGCATTGTATTTATATGCATAAATCCATCATTCGAGAATAACAACTCTCATTGTTTTTTTTTATAACCGATTTCAACCATCGCTTGGTTAATTAAGTAAAACCTTTAATAGAAGCCTTTATCAACTCCCAATAAATATCTTTAGTAGATATTCATGTTGGAAGTTGTCAGATAGTAGAACCATGGACATAAGTTGTCAAGCATCAATTGTTAGTTCTTATTCTTTAGATATGCTAAACAAAGAAAACTCAAATTTTAAAGCCTTTAAGGACCTTACTTAACATTATAAGAAAACACAAAAGATTGATATATAAATGTAGTAATGTTGTGAAAAATTGTATCACAAATTTATGTAGAAAAACCCAAATGATTCTAGATTTGAAAAGTTGACTTCAATAATTTTAATCTGGCGGTTAATTGCATAAATAGCTGACAAACTATTTTAAATAGCTGACAAATTATTTTTTCACAAAGCACAACTATTTTAGGTAATCACTACCAAAAGGTAAGCAACTAGACTTTGTGTTCTTAAAATATCATTATTATGGTTTTTAATGAACTATATGTATAAAAATAAACAGTTGTTACCTATTTATTGTACATTTTAAAAAATGATCTTTAGTAGAAAAAAATAGTTTGTTACTATTTGAACAAGTGGTGATCGTTCACATATTGAGACGGGTTTATTTTTCCTACATTTTCGACTAAATTAACCAATATAAAATACTGGTATGTAAGATTATTCAACAGTTCAAAAATAAAAGATTACTTGTGTAATTTATATCTACTAGGTGTGACACCCATGTATTACATGAGTTTATTTAAAAAAATTAAATATGAAATTTTAACAATTTGAAAAGTTTGAATTTATAGGAAAAATGAGAAAAAATTTGAATTATTAAAATTAATGAAGTTTTAATGTATTGAATACATTACATATATAAACTCTTTCTAATAAATACCTTACATTACATATTAAATGAGGAATTTTAATTTAATAAAATGAAAAATACAATAAAATAATAAGTTGAAAATACAAAATTCAAAAATTCTAGAAAATGACATGTGTCCAAATGAAAGAGAAGATGACACGTGGCAAAAAGTTCTTTATTTATTAAGGATGATGTATTGAATACATTACATATATAAACTCTTTCTAATAAATACCTTACATATTAAATGAGGAATTTTAATTTAATAAAATGAAAAATACAATAAAATGACAAGTGCAAAATAGAAAATTTAAAAATTCTAGAAAATGACATGTGTCCAAATGAAGGAGAAGATGACATGTGGCAAAAAGTTTTATTTATTAAGAACGATTGAGATACATAGACATAAAATAATTAAAAAAAATAAGAGAGAGGAACTTTTTGCTAACAAATATAACAAGTAAATTTTATAATAAAAACTTAAATGAATAAAAAGACAAAATGGGGGCAAAGTAGTTATTTTAGAAGATTTAACATACGAGGTTTAATGGTAACAACCTCAGGGATCAAAAGTACAATTTTTTTTCAACCATACCGACCATCCATGTAAAAGTTTCAAAGCTTGGACCAAAAGTGTAGAGTTATGTATAATGCAAATTCACTATTGGACCAAAACAATAATTAATGCATAAATATTTCATAGAATAAAAGTTTATATAAGTAATAACGCAAATTTGAAACTATAATAACGACAACTGTAATTAATTGAAATTAAAAACTACAAGCACTAAAAATAAAATTATCCTAACTTAAAAATATAAGGACCAAAACTTAAATTAATGCAAATTAAAAGCTATATGGCCCATAACTATAATTATTAAAGTGAAAAACTAAATGGAACAAAACTGTAACTAATACAAATTAATAACTATGAGGACCAAAAGCATAACTATCCAAAATAAAAAACTACATGGAGCAATACTATAATTAATGCAATATAGAAACTATAGTGACCAAAACTATAATTATGCAAATTAAACACTATAAGGACCAAAAGTGTATTTATCTTAAATTTAGAACTACAAGCACCGAAACTATAATTACTGAAATTAAAACAATATGAAACAAAGTTGTAGTTAGGTTATTTCCTAATAATTAAATGGATAGTACAACGTTGCATTTGATGATATTTTTTATGTTATGATCTTTTTTAGCATCATGTTTACGAGTACAAGTTCTGCCCATGAAGAGCAAAATACCATCACAGAAACCACAAAGACCCTTGATGAAGATGTGAAAAAGGATGATTCTGCTAAGCAACCCGATTCTATTTCCTCGCCTAAATCCCAATATGCCACAGATCCACCAAAAGATGTACCAACCGAAAAAGACATCTCTAATAATGAACCTACCCGTGACCAGGTGCGAAAGCATCTTATGAACTTGATAGATCAAGAACTCCACTTTATTCAAAAGATTTGTCCGAAACTTGGAAAACACGAAGAACATATAAAGAAAGAAGTCCAAGAAGCCTCTGGCATTTTTGCAAAGTTAACAGCGGAAGTTTGTCAACTGAAGGAACTCAAAGATCTTAAGAAGACTGTCACTAAACTGAAACTTCAAATCCCAGCAAAATACAGAACATATGACCTAACCGACCAACAAAAAGACCAACAATACGATGTCGATAACAAAGGCATCCTTTCCACCAAGTTACAGAAAATCATGCCCAGGCTGCATAACGAACTGTTCCATGATAGTTCGTTTTGTAAAACCATACAACAACGTTATGATGAACTCAGGCGTGAGTTAAAGCTTTGTTTGCTATGTTTTTCAGTGTTTCCAGAAAATGCATTGATTAGCAGAAGGTTAATGGTTTATTGGTGGATAGGAGAAGGATTTGTCCCACGGGAAGATGATTTGTTAGTTGGAAGAACCCAAGAGGACTATGCTAATGATTTATTTAAAGAGCTTATGGAAAAGGAATTCATCGAGCCTATTATCTCAAAATCGCATGGTCGTAATGTGGCTATTTGCAAAATGCACCCTATGATTCGTGCTTCAATTATTATGATTGCAGACAAGGTGAACTTCTTTGATTTTGATGAGTATGGTAACCCAAAAGACTTTGGAAAATTTGATGAGATAGATACTCCAGACGAAATTCCTAGCAACTATCCCCTTGGTGATCCAAGAGAATTCTTTGATTTCTACGATGAAAACTACAAAGAAACAGAAGAACCCATCGAATTCTTTGATTCATACGGGGACCCAACTCCATTCTTTGTTTATCCCCAAAACAAAGATCAACTACATGAGGAAGATCAAAATATAATTGAGCTAAAAGATACGCATAAAAAATACTACTTTTATAAGAAAAAGAAGATCATCACAAGGTCCTATAAGGTGTGTTTAATGGGTAGTGGGCTATCAAAAGGTATCACATGGGAGAAGCTTCATCTGTTATTTAATATCAAGGATGATATTCTAGAGTTCAAGCCAGAATGGTTTATTAGAATGAAGAATGCGAATATGGTCTTCCTGGGAAGGTGGCAAAGCTCAGCTGCTCACCATATTGAGGTTGAGGATTTCAATTTTGAAGAGACTTTGGAGAATATGAACCATGTGAGGTTCTTTAGTCTTCAAGGAGTTTCTAGGATTTCCCAACTTCCAAATTCTATTTCAAAGCTTGAAAGCCTTCTCATTCTTGACCTCAGAGCTTGCCATAATCTTGAGTTAATTCCTAAAACCATTGGTTCACTTAAGTTCTTGACGCATTTAGACATGTCTGAATGTTACTTACTACAAGAAATGCCCAAAGAGATTTCGTGTCTAGAATCGCTTCAGGTCTTGAAAGGGTTTGTTGTGGTCGAATCACCAGGAAGGCATGTATGCACCCTTCACGATTTGATAAATCTAGAATACTTGAGAAAGCTTAGCATGTACACACATATGATAAATTTCCCTCAAGAATCACATCTAGATGCGTTACAAAAGTTGGACATGCTTCGTAAGCTAACAATCTTGTGGAGTGGCCATGTGTCAAATTTGAATTATGATAAGTTGACAGTACATGGTCAATATAAAAAGAAACTTAAACTTCCATCGATAAAACTCATTCCAAAGAAAAAGTGGGTGAAAGGGTCCATGAGAAGAATGAATGCCTTCAACAACTCAACATTGGGTTCACGACTTGAAAAACTTGACCTCAAGTGTTTCCCCAGCAACCTTACTCCAAATTGGCTAACCCCTGGTAGTCTTAAAGCGCTAAAGAAACTATACATCCGTGCTGGAAACTTCTCTGATTTAGGTCAGTATCAGGAAGTTCTTGAATGGGATGATTTCCCCACTCCGCCCAAGGACACATGGAATGTTGAGGTATTGCGATTGAAGTACTTAGATGAAATCAAGATGGATTGGAGGGAGCTGCAAGATTTATTTCCGAAAATCACTTCTTTGGAAAAAGTTAAATGCCCAAGGCTCACACTTTTTCCTTGCAATGAGCGTGGAGTATGGAATAAGAAGACATCATCGACTACATGATTCAATGGAATATTTACAAAATTTCAAGATATGGTTTGCTGGCTAAAATGTCTTACGATTTATCGGTTGTGTAAGGATGATTCAAATTCATAATTCCATAACAAATACCAATGAAGTTGTATATGTGTTCATTGTTATCTGAATATGTTGTCTTGTAAATATATAACATTAGAAATAAATTTCACGATTTAACGTTTGCATAATGTTGATTCCAATTTGGCAATTCATAATTCTATAACAAATACCATTAAAGTTGTCTAAATACGTTAGTTTTATAAATATATAACATTATAATAAGGATACAAGTGTGTGATGCAAGAATTTTAATATTAGAAAATTCTAATTTATCTTTACTATTATATAAATCATATTAGATGTTTCTTGAATATTTTAAGAGGTACAACTACTATAGTATCAAATACAATAATAAAGTGCTTGGGGAAAACGCTCATTAATTTAAATTAATTTAAATGGTAAATCTTATAAATGTTTGGAGAGAACACTGGTTAATTAAATGGTAACTCTCCTTCTACCACCAATCACGACCCCAATCATCCGTTATCTCGCTCCCGTTACACTCATCTTCCCTTTTTCGACCCAAATATTCAAAAAGTCTATTCTCTGCATCGTTGTATCCCTTCTCTGCCTTCTCCGTCATCCATGGCCACCCTTATTTGAAGCTCTAATCTGCCACCACCTTTTGTCTTCGACCATCAACAATGATTGTTTCTTTTCCACTACTGTTTCTAATGCTTCAATCCAAATCTGTGACCACGAAATATGAAACATCAAGTGAAGTAGAATACTCGGAATTTGTTACCACAAATTAATCTTGGCTGAACCCTAAATTGGATTTTCATTTTTCTAATATATTTTCTTTGGAAATCTCTTTTAATTGGATTTTCAGGTAAGATCCAAATCATAAGATGAAGAAATCGATTAAGGAGATCTTATGAAGAAATCATACGATCCAGAGAGGAGACTTTATGTTGTTACTCTCATTTTCATTTTTCTAATCTATTTTCTCTGGAAAAATATATTTTAATTGGATTTTCAGGTAAGATCCAAATCATACGTTGAAGAAATCGATTAGAGAGACCTAGCAAAAGGGTTATTTGTAACAAGATATGACTATGATGCCCTCTTATTATATTTGGTATATTATAAAGCCTTTTAATATTTCATTTTATGCATGTATTTAGTATGTAAGACCCCTAAATCGCATCAGTGCTGTCTCCAGAAACCCTTGCATCACCATTGCACGTTTTTCACGGCTAATAGACTGAAAGACCCCCAATACACCACCACCACACCACCTCTCTGTTTCTTTCCTTCTACAAATGAAACGACTCCAACACTATATTCTCAAGTGTGTTTATATTTTTGGTTTCAGGTTATAGTTTCTTGTATTAATCGATATCAGGTTCCATCTAATGTTTATATCCATTAAATTTTCAAGTTATTTATTTAATCTTCTTGTATTTGTCTTCTCAGCTGGGATTTTGTTTTCTTAGGTTTTATAAAATGGCTTCTTTAACATTAGATCGTTCTTGATATGAAATTGGGATATATGTAGAAAAAATCCAGAGCAAATGGGTTTAAAAGCTTACCTAGTGAAAAACTCAAAAAATGTGACCTTTCTTATCAATAATTTAATGGTTATATTAAGACTATTACATACTAGATCTTGGCACACTTCTTTCTCTCAGACATAAATGATTTTGTTGATGTTTTTTTGGAGCCAAGCCAAGAAGGTCTCAAGGTAAAAGACGGACCCCAAATATCTTACGTTTGTACCCTAAAACAGATCCATCCTTTCATTAGTTTATTGTTTGTCTGTGATCATAAAAATACTCATCCATAAACAGGGGCGGTCCTAGCTAGGTGCCCGGTATGACACCGGCAACACCTAGCTTCCGCACAAGTAGTAGAAAAAATTTCGTTTTTTTAAAATTTTTTACCTATTGTGCCACTACGTAAAAAGAATCGTGCAACTACTAAAATTTTTTTGTGCAACTACATAAAAAAAATATTGTCACTCTATCAGGAATTACCAAGAAAAAAATTAATAACGAGCCTAATGTTTTAATCAATTATTGTCTAATAGTCCAATTGCCCAAAGCCCAAAATAAAACTTAATTAGATAAATTAGCAATTGGGCTAATTGCTTGTAAAAAAGATAGCCCAATCCTAATTAATTAATTGAGTGTGTAATTGTGTATTATCGGTACAAGGGAGAAAAAAAAGCACACAATAACATAATCCATCGAGGCATCGACTACTCGACTTCCGATTCCAAAATTCGTTCAATCGTTGCTTGGCTACTGTCGACAATCGTGACTCGTGACCTCCTATTCGAACAATTCTTGATCGATTTCATTGTTGGATTGATTAACATTCAAGTATTCAACAATAGTCAATCTCTTGAAGCAAGTAACAAAATCGACTTCTTTCAGTTTCTACTGTTTTGGTTAACAAAATCCACTTCAAAGCCCTACAATGAAGCAAGTAAGTTTTACCAATTCATTTAGATATTTGAAATTGATATGTTTTTTTGAAGTTATTGATTGACTTGGGTGAAATTGATTTGTTTTATTGAAGTTATATTGTTTGCTTAGGTTATATTGCTATGTTTTTTATTGAATTTATTGTTTGATTAGGTGAAATTGCTAACTTTTATTGAATTTATTGTTTGATTAAGTGAAAGCAACTTGTTTTATTGAAGTCATTGTTTGATTAGGTGTAATTGTTATGTTTTTATTGAATTTATTGTTTGATTAGATGAAAGCAACTTGTTTAGTTGTTTTATTGAAGTCATTGTTTGATTAGGTGTAATTGTTATGTTTTTATTGAATTTATTGTTTGGTTAGGTGAAAACAACTTGTTTAGTTGTTTTATTGATGTCATTGTTTGATTAGGTATACTTGTTATGTTTTTATTGAAATTATTGTTTGATTAGGTGAAAGCAACTTGTTTTATTGAAGTCATTGTTTGATTAGGTGTAATTGTTATGTTTTTATAGGTTAAACTAAGTGGTTTTTTTACCAAAAGATAAAGACCTAATCCTAATGAAAGTGGTGAAGAATGTTCCCAAATACCAATCACCAATTAATCAATCCCTTCCGTTTCTAATCCTAATGCAACTCCACAAACACCAATCACCAATCAATCAATCCCTTCGGTTTCTAATGCAACTCCACAAACACCATACTCTAATCAACCTAATGATAATGTTGACTTGAAAGATCTTCCAAATGACCCAGCGGATAGGCCATTGATTACAAGTTACAAATCAAATATAAGAGATGATGTAAGAAGAACATATTTGCTTCAAGGACCGTGTCAAGTAAGGGCACATAAGTTTCCTAAAAAAAGTAGGCGATAGATTTAGAAGATTCGTTCCTTCATGGTTTGATGATTTTGATTGGTTGGAATATAGTGTGAAAAAGAATAGTGCATATTGTTTATATTTTTATTTGTGTGGAGACCTCATGGGACAAAAAGAAGGGAGAGATGCATTTGTTTCCCAAGGTTTTGATACTTGGAATAAAAAAGATGCATTTCAGACTCATGTGGGTGGTGTTGATAGTTTTGACATGAGTTTTTACCGAGGGAAAAACAAGCTATTAATGTAGTCTTGAGGAGGCAAACCGAAGCAGAGGACCATAAATATAAAGCTCGATTACATGTTTTTATTATTGTTGCTAGACTTTTATTGAAAACCGGTTTACCGTTTCGTGGTCATGACGAGTTGGTTAACTCGGAAAATAGAGGGCTTTACATTGAAGTGTTAAAAGCCATTCGAGAGACTAGTGAAGATATTTTCAACAATACTTTAGAAAATGATCCTAAAAACAATCAACTAATTTCCCCTAAAATTCAAAAAGAACTTGTGCAATGTTTTGCACAAGAAGTACTTTTGAGTATTCGTGAAGAGATTGGTCAAGATGTTTTTGCTTTACTAGTTGATGAATCTAGTGATGTTTCAAAAAAGGAACAAATGACTATTGTTTTGCGTTATGTCGATAGTCTTGGCTTTGTGAAAGAAAGATTCATAGGACTAGTGCACGTGAAGGATACATCCTCTTTGACACTCAAAAACGCCATAAATGAAGTACTTACAAGTAATAAGTTGAGTTTTAGTCAGGTAATTTATTCTTTACTTTTTTGTTATTTTAGGTTAATATATATATATATATATATATTAATTGTTTTAAATTTTAATAGATAAGACAAGGTTACGATGGGGCTAGCAATATGCGACGGGAATTCAATGGTTTGAAAGCTTTGATATTACAAGAGAATGACACGGCTTTTTATCTATTAAACCGTCAACAAGCATCTGGAATCTTAGCATATTTTAAATCATATGAGTTCGTGTTTTACTTACATATGATGTATGACATTTTACACCTCACGGGTACATTGTCAAAGCAACTTCAAAGAAAAGATCTAGACATTTTAGAAGCGACTTCGATGGTTAGAGGGACAATGGAGGCATTGCAATCTTTTAGAAACACAGAGTTTGCTATTTTGCCAAAAGTATCCTCTTTTTGTCAAATACACAAAATTGATACTTTAGATATGGAAGAGTTGTATATTGGTGCGAGAAACCGTAGGACTACAAAGACTAATAGGTTTCATTTCGAGGTTGAAATCTTCAACACGGTGGTAGATATGCAACTTATAGAATATCGGGATCGATTTAGTGAAACAAGCACCCAAATACTAGAATACATGGGTGCTTTGAGCCCTTGTGATTCATTTGCACAATTTGACAAATCAAAGCTATTGAAGTTGGGTAAGTTATACAAGTATGACTTTGATGATTCAGATATGTTAGACCTTGAAGGACAACTTGAGATATTTTATCACTCTTGCATCAAAGATGAGCGCTTCAGTAGTTTGAAAGGAATTTCCAACCTTTCTCGTTTGATGGTTAGTACGGGGAAGCATCGGTATTATCCTTTGGTTTATAAACTTTTAAAGTTGACTTTGAT